CAAGTGTGGATCATGGGGGGGGGGGTGACCATATATATATATATGTATACCTAAGGTCCTAAACCCTAAACCCTTCTTCAGGATCATTTAGAATGAGTTCAAGTCCCAATTTAAGTCCATGTTGGTACTATTCCCTATATAGACCAGCATTTAGGGTTAGGTCGGGTGAGGTCGCTTTAAATTGCCCAGTTTTTTGCTCTTCGCAGACAGGCCCTACACCCTAAACCCTAAACCCTAAGGCCTGTGAAGTATTCTCCGAGATGGTACCATGAGGCGCATGGTCAAACTTGAAGTCGGGAGCTCGGTTGCTGAAGCTCTGTCGCATCCTTGGCTGTGCCCTACAGCTCCCAAAAAAACAGCCCATATGTGCAAAAGTCTAAACTCCTAGTATTCCCCTTTCTATCCCCTATAACGCTCCCCTAAATAATCCCCTTTAAGGAGTTCAGACTACAGCCCATACTGGGCAGAGAAATGGAAAAAGGTTACCCAATGGACAGGTGTCCTTTGCTCTGCTTCGTTCTCGCACTTCTCCAGGAACAGCTCCTTCTCAGCGATTTGCCCATCAAGGGCTTGAATACGATGGTCGTGCTCGCTCGGTAAGGTCGTGGGGTCGTATGGAATGTCCATGAGTACCAGACCCGGATATTTCTTCCTTGCGTCCTCCGTGGATGGGAGGGCGGGCTGCGAATGCGAGCCATGCAAGGCTTGTAGCTCCGCCTTCTTTGGGCGTAGCCTCTTCACTGGCAGCGGTGCCCCATAGGGGCACTTCCGCTCCACGAGACGCACCGGTGGGATCGTCAGGCCGTCGAAGTGGCGACGTGCTTCAGCAGAGTGCATCCGCCTGAGCTCCTGCAGTCAGGAACAACACTCAACGCAAACATACCAATGACCTGGGTTGCTGTTAAGGAACTTAAATTAAGTTACCATAATGGGTATATATAGTAATTTATAGGGTTCACCCAATATAGTCACTTAATTTAAGTTCCNNGTTCCTTAACAGCAACCCAGTGACAACACTATGAAGAACAAGACCAACTGCGACAAGATTCAGAGTGGTAGCTTCTATGTCCCTAGCACCGATGGGCATGGCTGCAACAGTGATACAGAAAAGCAGTAGTAGCAGAAACAATAGCAGCAGTAGTAAGAGGATTGAGAACTTGAGACAAACCCTGAGGGCTCCAACGATGTTCTTACTCATGCCTAGCTTGGACTCGGTGAACGGCTGACAGAGATTATCATAAGAGAATATGAGGATCACTATGCGCGTCCATTCACCTGTTGCCAACTGCGGCATAAGTGAGTAACAGCGGTAGCGATGAGAAGCAAAACGAGGCCGTGGTCAGCAAAGCCTCTGCTATGTCGAAACGCTCCATCCGCGATCTCGCCAGGTAGTACTCCCGGGGCAGAGCTTCCACCACCTGTAGGGTCATCTGAGTAGTGTTTTTTGGTGG